GCGCCCACCCCACCCCCCGGCGGGACCCCGTGGGGAGCACCCGTCTGTGGCGCACCTCCCCCCCAGCCCCTCGGTCCTGCCCGCAGGTGCCTACTGCCTCTCCGTCTCTGACTTCGACAACGCCAAGGGGCTCAACGTGAAGCACTACAAAATCCGCAAGCTGGACAGTGGCGGCTTCTACATCACCTCCCGCACCCAGTTCAACAGCCTGCAGCAGCTGGTGGCCTATTACTCCAGTGGGTAGCCACTTGGGGTCCCCTTGGGGTCTGGGTGACACCCTGGGTGCTGTGCCTGCCCTCGCTGCAGGACGGGTGCTGCTGGGAAGCCAGTGTGGGGCTGGGGGACCCCAAACCAGCTGGGGGGAGACGCTGGTGAAAAGCTGCTTGGGTTTTAGGGAAGAGGGTGAGGGTTTGGGTATGGGTCCCCGAGGTGTTTTGCGGGGAAGATGTGGGTTAAAGACATCGCATGCCTAAATGCCCAAGTGTCACCCTGGTGTTGTCCCCTCCTGTGCTAGAACACGCCGACGGCTTGTGCCACCGTCTCACCAACGTCTGCCCCACTTCCAAGCCCCAGACCCAAGGCCTCGCCAAGGATGCCTGGGAAATCCCCCGGGAATCGTTGCGGCTGGAGGTCAAGCTGGGGCAGGGCTGCTTTGGAGAGGTGTGGATGGGTAAGGACAGCTCCCACCCCGCTGTCCCCCCCGTGTCACCACCTGCATCACTCCCCAGCCGTCTGCAGGTGCCCGGAGCCTGCAGCGGGGTGGGGGAGCAGGCAAGGGGCACGGCTCCCTGCCCTATAAATGTGTCCTGAGCGGCGTGTCCTGTGCCACAGGGACCTGGAACGGCACCACCCGGGTGGCAATCAAGACTCTGAAGCCAGGCACCATGTCCCCAGAGGCTTTCCTGCAGGAAGCCCAGGTCATGAAGAAGCTCCGGCATGAGAAGCTGGTTCAGCTCTACGCCGTGGTTTCAGAGGAACCCATTTACATCGTCACCGAGTACATGAGCAAGGGTGAGTGTGGGAGGGATGCTGGGGGGGCGGCCGAGGGGCTCTGCTCCTCCAGATCGCCGTGACTGTGGTCTTCCTCGCAGGGAGCCTCCTGGACTTCCTGAAGGGCGAGATGGGCAAGTACCTGCGGCTGCCCCAGCTCGTGGATATGGCGGCTCAGGTGGGTTTGTGCATCCCCAGGCCTCCCGCCTCCCCCTCCAAGGGCACTGGCTGCCCGAGCACCTCGCTGGGCTGTCGTGGCTGTCGCCTGTCAGGTGGTGGGGTTCTCTGCAGCCTCACTTGGCTTGGGTTGGGTGCTGCCGTCCCCGCTGGGTGCTCAGCCCAGAGCTGGGCTGCAGTCAGGGACCATCATTTTGCCCGTTCCCATTGCTGCCGGCTCTCCCTGGCCAGCAAACCTGCGTCCGCGTGGGTTTTCTTGAGCAACCGGCTGCTCCCACACCCTGGGTTGGGTCCCACTGTGGAGCCATTCCCCTTGGCGGTGCCAGGTGCTCCCTGGGGACCCTCATGTTACCCCGCCAGCCTCAGTGCCCCATGTCCTGGTCCCCACAGATCGCATCTGGCATGGCCTACGTGGAGAGGATGAACTACGTCCACCGGGACCTCCGGGCAGCCAACATCCTCGTGGGGGAGAACCTGGTGTGCAAAGTGGCTGACTTCGGCTTGGCGCGCCTCATCGAGGACAATGAGTACACTGCTCGGCAAGGTGCGTGCCCGGGGCTGCCGGCACCGTGCCCAGGCAGGTGGCACCGGAGCAATGGCCGCTGTGTGGTCCCCTGTCCCCAGGGGTGTGCGTTGCATCTTGAGCCAGCACATGGCCCTGGCTGCGCGGGGGTCCTGGAAGCACTCACAGCCCGTATGCCCTCGGGCACCGTGGGGCAGGGAGCAGCCCCTCACCCTGCCTCTCCATCCAGGCGCAAAGTTCCCCATCAAGTGGACGGCCCCCGAAGCGGCTCTGTACGGCAGGTTCACCATCAAGTCGGACGTCTGGTCCTTCGGCATCCTCTTGACTGAGCTGACTACCAAGGGCAGAGTGCCGTACCCAGGTGAGGGCTGGCACCCACCAGCAGAAACCCCATCCCTGTCGTGGTGCCCTGACACCAGCCGCCTTTGCCCAGCGCTCGCCCCGGGCACTCCGTGGTCCCCAGAGCCATCTTTGCAGAGGAGCAAACTGATGCAAAGTTTCTCTGCAATTTGGGCAGGGAGGGCGGGCTCGGGGGAGAGCTGCCCCTGCCCAGGTCAGATCCTGCCCTGCTGGAGCAGGGCGAGCAGAGCCCAGCTGGGATGCAGTGTCACAGCCACCCCGTCCTGCTCCGGTCTCCGAGCAAGGTGACAGGCTGACGGGGACGAATGCTGTGGGGCTGGGGGTCCCTCTTTACCTGGGTCCAGTCACTGGGGTTGCCTGTAAGGCTCGTCCCAGCACGATGCCCTCGGTGTCCCCTCTGGGAAAGGCACAGTGCAGGATCTGGCCCGTCTCTCACTTGGCGCTGTGTCTCTGGCCGCACGCAGGGATGGTGAACCGGGAGGTGCTGGACCAGGTGGAGCGGGGGTACCGCATGCCCTGCCCACCCGAGTGCCCCGAGTCCCTGCACGACCTCATGTGCCAGTGCTGGCGGAAGGACCCGGAGGAGCGACCCACCTTTGAGTACCTGCAGGCTTTCCTGGAGGACTACTTCACCTCGACAGAGCCCCAGTACCAGCCCGGCGAGAACCTATAGACCTGGAGCTCCTCCTGGCACCAGGGACGCTGCTGTCCTCACAGCAGGGCGCCAAGGGCTAGCCTCCTCGCCGAGGGGCCGGTTTTTTGTGGAGCAGCCCCAGAGCGGGATGGGGCATCGTCTCCAGATGCAGCCAGGGGAGGTGCTGGGTTCCCCCGTCGTTCATTAAGACTTCTGGCCTGTGTTTAATGAAGCGGCGCCGTCCCGCTGGCGAGAGGAGCCTGAGGGCACTGGCAGAGCCGGCTCGGGAGAGCCAGCGGAGCATCTCCCTCCGAGAGACTTGGCTTTCGGGAGACCTTTCCCGCCCAGCAGCTCTGGGGTGAGCCCGGAGGAATTGAGGGACAGCATCACCCCACCTCGGACACACGGCCCCGGTCTCCTGCACCCCCTTTCTAAATCAGCACAAATTCCCCTGCCCCTTTGCCCTCCCCGCCATCCCCCCCCTTGGCTCCGGTTCTCCTGAGGGCGCTGGCAGAGACGGTTTGCCATGGGGAAGGCACAATCCCTGGCTGGTTCAGACGGGCGATGCGCTGGGGCAGTGGTGCTGGCATGGGGGAGCAGCGGAACGCTGGTGGTGCCCCTTCCTCGGGCATCCCTCCGGCCTCACCGCAGCCTCGCCGGCTAGCGGGTGCCGGGAGCATGAAATGTGGCTGCTCATGGCTCCGGTGACCGACACCGTCCCGTGGGAGCACCCGGGCGCACGTTAGAGTCTTCCAGCTGCATCTGTCCCCCCAAGGGACCCATCTCGTCACTCCTGGGAGCAGCACCGGGGGTGTGCCGGCAGAGCCCCCGCCCTGCCTGCTGCGCTTTCTCCCACCG